TATTGGTCATTTATTTTTCTTCCGCGGAGTGGTACGTTTTATCCCCGCTTCTAACCAAACGGGATGAATTTCCCATTTCCGACAGTAGAGGGTGATGTAAGTTTACCAACAAGTGTTGTGTCGAAGTCTTAGTTTAAGGCCCTGTCTCAAATGGCACACTTCACGTGCATTTGCGGGTCCACATTATATCAAAATTTTTGATATCTCACTATTGGTCATTTATTTTTCTTCCGCGGAGTGGTACGTTTTATCCCCGCTTCTAACCAAACGGGATGAATTTCCCATTTCCGACAGTAGAGGGTGATGTAAGTTTACCAACAAGTGTTGTGTCGAAGTCTTAGTTTTAAGGCCCTGTCTCAAATGGCACACTTCACGTGCATTTGCGGGTCCACGAGACTGTAGAGTGTCCCATTCGTCATTTTAGCTTTCAGAAGGGTGCTCGCGAGCGCCCCCTTTGTGGCCGCTATGCGCCCTTGATGCGCACTTCTGCCGAGCCCACACTGGGGCGAGCTCCACGGCAGACTTCTACCCGACAATCAAAGAGGCATTACATCACTTCTGATTGGTCAGTTTAGTAAGGATAGGTGGTTTCTGTTAGCTTGCGCTAGTGAAGCGATTAATTAAGTGACAATCAAAAGTATTATATTATATCAAAATTTTTGATATCTCACTATTGGTCATTTATTTTTCTTCCGCGGAGTGGTACGTTTTATCCCCGCTTCTAACCAAACGGGATGAATTTCCCATTTCCGACAGTAGAGGGTGATGTAAGTTTACCAACAAGTGTTGTGTCGAAGTCTTAGTTTTAAGGCCCTGTCTCAAATGGCACACTTCACGTGCATTTGCGGGTCCACGAGACTGTAGAGTGTCCCATTCGTCATTTTAGCTTTCAGAAGGGTGCTCGCGAGCGCCCCCTTTGTGGCCGCTATGCGCCCTTAATGCGCACTTCTGCCGAGCCCACACTGGGGCGAGCTCCACGGCAGACTTCTACCCAACAATCAAAGAGGCATTACATCACGAAAGTGTGGACTCAGAGGAAGACCTCGAGGGTTTAGGGTGCGATTTGGGACAGGGCCTTTAGTGTTCCCGCTACGCAAACAGCGTACAGAGCTCGTTCCACTGTTCCCACACACTGTTTCCACTTATCTTTTTGTCATCTTATAATATTTACTATATATTTAGGTATTGATCACAGGATCGATTTGAAAGTTTGGAAGGCTTTGCTGACTGCGCTGTATATGTATGAAATATGAATTCAAACAAATGTTCAACGTAATTCTACCTCTAACAAGTATATTTTTCTTGTGTGTGCTTCTCAATCTCAGGCCCCCGAAACACCTGGGGGGCCCCCTTGCTCTCAAAGATGATTTAATTTTAGTTTCGTTTTTGAATATTGCCAGCGGTTATGAAAACATGAATGGTCATTTCTTTTCATGCGGTGCGCTGTCGCCCTTTCTACGTAAAATCAGTGAAATCATGTAATGTGAATGTCGTACAGTCTTGCTCGAGACTAAAAAAACGAGTTGAAAGCGTACCGAGCCGCGGAAGAGACGCTGTTTCTCAAGCGCTTTCCGCGAGCGCGATTCGAGACGGAGTGAAACACAGACAAATGCGTTTCATTCATTCATAACCACTCACACCCCACTCCACCACCCCCGAAAAAAAACTGTAATAGACTATAAAAAAATCTGATTATTTCTGGATACATTAATAAAGGAAAGTTAATGGTAATGGGAGATGCTGATGTAGTGACTCAGAAGTTGCTGATTCTTCCGTGTATGTGGATGGAGCTTCACCAGCATCAGTCTGATAAATGTTAGAACCTGCCTGTATAAGAAACACAGGGGGAACAGAATCCGATGGTGAGTCTGTTTGTCTAAAACTGTAATTCCTACAAGTTCAATCATCAAAATCCAGATACAACTAAAAAATTTAATTTGTAAATTTGATTATCATTTAAGTGAATTTTTTATAAAAACATAATAATTATGCAAGCTAATGATGTAGCTGAGTAATTTTGCAGTAAATAGGTAAAGGACCACATATCCTCAAAAGCATAAAGGCCTATGTATTGTATTATATATTATACAATCGCTCTGTGTGTGTGTGTGTGTGTGTGTGTGTGTGTGTGTATATATATATATATATATATATAGCTCTGTACGCTGTTTGAAACACTAAACTAAGGGGAAACAAGACTTCGACACAACACCTGCATATAAAAACATGCATTACAGATTATTCTTAGCTGAACGATAAGTAATTGGATTTATGTGATAGTATAGCGTTTATAAATACCAGATCAACCGTTTTGCTAGGCCTAGCTATTGTCGTCCTCAACAGAGATTATATAGTCAGAGCAAAGTTTTGTCGCTGAGACCAAGACAAATTTGTATTTTATCTTGCATTATAGATTTTTTTTTTTTCAGGGTTGCAAGAAACCTGGTAAACGTGGGTGACACTATAACTTATGCTGGAATAAGATGGAATGAAGATAATGCTCATTTGTCGGGATAAATGACTAAAGTCTTTAAACCTTATTGACCATATAGTCAATAAGTTCATTGTTTTTTTATTATTATTATTATTTATCAATTTTTGAGTAAAACATCATAACTTCTGGTAGTTTGATTAAATAGCCTACTGATTTAAGAAAGATATGTTAAAAAATAATAGGAAACAGTATCTCGTGCATTGAATCAAATTGAGAATTCTGTACATACAGAACATTTCAGCACTTTTTGCCCAGTTTTCACACTGCAGAAATAGTGTGAGTACTATGTTATTCTAGACAGCTCTGTGAAGTGCAGCTAATTAGTTCCAAACTTAAAGCTGTTTAAGATAACTTATGGATCATAGCCAATTCTGTATCATATACTTTTACTGCCCTCTTGTGTTCATTATAATATAATTATTTACAGAGGAAGCACCTCTCTCTCTCTCTCTCTATATATATATATACATATATTGTGCCGATGAGATGGTTTTTTTATGTTATTGGGAATGCATTTAGTTTATCATATTATCAACATTTAAGGTCAGGCTTAAAAAAATTAATGTAATCATATTACATGTGAAGATTTTGTGATTGCCAAACATTATTAGAGCATAGTTTAAACTTAGTTGGCCTATTAGTCATAGTTAGTCTGGATCAGAAAGTTAGTTCTGTGAAAATAAAACTCTAGGATCCTTTTGAATTTATGTTACATCTAATGTAGTGACATCCAGAGTGTAACAGTGGCTAATTGTTGTGATATTTTACTTCAAGGTTACGCTGACTTTATCCTGATAGAGCAAACGCTGCAGGTCCAGCCTCTCCTCGGATTTCTCTGGACGCTGGTTGTCATGGCAGCTGTGCGCCGGCGGGGGTCAGCGGGGAAACTCATCTCTGTTTGCTGTAGCTCATTGCCCCGCTGTAATATCAGCACCGGAGACACCTGGGCCTGCTGACACAGGACCTCAGAGAGAGCAGTGGACTGGCAACCCCCAGTGATTGCTTTCTCCAGTGTCCGGAACTGCACTCAGTACACACCATTAACCTGTGGCTCACGGAGCAGGACATATTAGTAACCTCATTCATAATAACTTCCTCAAGACGCACACACAATAGACACTGACCTAGCACTGAAAAAGAAGAAGGCACCCATTTTTGTCTTGGAGCAACCAAGTGGAGCTAATCGCCGGTGTCACTTTGGTGACAATAAAATAATGGCAAGGCATCAGAGTCCAAAGACATTGCATGTGTTGACAGGCTCCTAACGTTTTATGATTCATTTTCTTTATAGGTCTCTATAAAGGGTGTATGTAAACAACAACATTTATCAATCAATTATGAAACATAAAAAAGATTGTATGCACATTATATAAAATATCAATGATGATATGTACTGGTCAGTTAGTTTTGAAACCAGATTGCGTAAAAAAAATTAAATAAAAGTGTTAAGCAGTTATAAATGCACAGTTCGTTAAAAAAGCTTGATACCCTAAATCAATGTAAGCACGTGTAAAACACAAAACATTACAGGTTTACATCCACTGACAAAAATTTCTGTTTGGTCAACCCTAATAAACAGATCTGTCAGTAACAAACTGTACGTTAAATACAATTACAATACATTTTCA